ACAATAGTGTGACAATTCCAAATTCTTCATTTTGAGAAAATCGACTTTGAATAAAATTTTCACATCTCAATGATGATAAATTCCTCTCAGGTGAACCTCATTCACCGCGAAAAGTATATTTAGTTTAAATTATGTCATAAGCTTACAATGACATGAGAAATTTTCATACTTCCGATGCTCCAGACTTCGCTGAAAGCAAACGCTTGGGTTCATCAATCAACCTCTGATCAATGATTCTCAAAATTTCCATGCAGACTTCGAATTTCAGTAGCCCTGATAATTATTTTTTTCGACTAAAGTGTGTTCTTTTATATATTTTTTTCCTTTTCATCATCCATTCTATTCATCGCTCAAATTTCGAAAACATCTTGTATACTATTCTCTCAAAACTTGTACTCATTTGACGAACCCACATCAAACTTGGTGTATTGATGAATTGAAAATTCTTCACAGCAAAATATAGGTATACCTAACACCGTGCGAATTTTATCAAGATACATTTTCCGGAATATTTCACCTTCATGAAAATTGAGGTTATGTTAAATGAAATGAATATGAATTTCAATTGATTCATCACCAAGAATGGTAATATACCAATTAATATGATCCAAGTTCATCAAACTTCTGCTGGTTTGCGAAATTCCTTTGTGTAAATATCTGATACGGATTTATTAGTCTTTCGTAATAATGAAAAGTTTTTCCGCGTGGTATTCTCCCAGAAAGTATGTTCGTCAAACTTTTAATTGCAAATCTTAAGAGTTCATAAATATTCAATATGAAGTCAATCAATCACTCAGGGATTATAAGAACAATGAAGTCCATCTGAGCACTTATATGATGGAATAAGTTTTGAATGGATCTGAAATTTCTATAATACTTATTATTTACATAGTAAAGAAAACGGGTGAAACCGCGCAGCGTGTCTATTTTCGGTTTATACTGTAACCTGAATTGAGAGTTATTCTCATTTCAACTCAATAGAAAATACTGAATACTCATTTGATCAAGTCAGATGACACTGTACTCAGGTTGTCTACTGCAATTTTTTGATATTGGAGTAAAGAATTCAACAAATAGGCTCGCAAATAGGTATATCCCTAATAGCACGATTATGCCTCATAAACATTCTCAGGACGTCCAGTCGAGACATTCAGGACGTCCATAGGACGTTTGAATTCAGTCCATTGGACGTCTGTCGGACGCAAAAAAAATGTCCCACTTGAGGACCAACTAGAAACGTCCATGAGGAATAACCCTGGTAAAACTATCGAATAGTTGAATCCTACAGTTTTTTTCATCAAGCACTATGGAGGACATCCGTAGGACAACCTATCAGCAATGCTGAGGGATAATAATCAGATGTCCATAGGATGTCCCAGGGACTTACGAATTATTATTGAATTCGAATTCATTTGGGTCTTCCTAGGTCTTGATCATGCATAACTAACAGTTGAGTTGATGGTATGTAAAAGGTTCCCAATAGATCATGAAGAAGGTTTCCAAGAGATTCCATCAAAGAATTTCTCAATGACGTCCAATGGACTTTCGTAAAGAACATTGATAGAGAGCATTTATAGCCTACGAGCAGTCTTGTCCTCGAAGGAATCACCATTGAACGTACCGATTGGGTCGTCACTAGGACGTTATTTTTAGAATGTGTAGAGAAACATGATCATTCGCTTGCATGAAGGACATTTATGTAGAATGTCTATCTGAAGTTCTCATGCCAAAATGTATACTACCGATGAATGCATTTTGAGGACTTCCTTGGGACATCCATAAGACGTTGTACTCATGACATCAGATGAAATTATATTGCCTGAAGAATATTCTTGTACTTATTAGTTAGATGAACATATATGGATCATCTATAGGAGTTCCTTCCGAATTCATAACAGTTCATGTATCAATTGGGACATCGGATATATATCCCTGAGGGATGTTCAACGATCCTGGAGATAATGAGGGCGTCCTTGCAGAGATATTCGAAGAAATGTACCGTCTGGGACATTTCATGGTTGTTCTAGATGAAGTGCCTCAGACATCTCATTTCACGCCCCTTGAAGAGTGTGGACACGCTTGTCATCTTGTTAAACAGCTGAAGAAAACACATGAAACGCAAATATATTCCATAAGGAACAGAATGTATTTCTTCTGTAACCTTTCATTGAACGAGTGGAGACATATTCATCTGGAACCCTTATAGTGGCGTATCACCAAAGGCTCATAATGCTCATTTTGTAGTTACATTAATATATAACATCATTGAATGTATTTCCATGAACTGAACATTGGAAATTGAAGCTTGAACGATTACTTGAAATGTCTTCTCGTCTTTAGGCAACTCAAGTATGAATGGTCCCCATGATTTCTAGAATTTTCAAAATTTGTTACCAATCAGTAAATTCTTTTTTGCATTTATCTCTGAGTCCTCACAGTTTTCAGAAAACATATATAGGAGAGCAGGAAGTATACCAAGAATCTGAATTGATGTTTCATTGAAAGCAAAAAAAGTTCAAGAGGGTCAAATTGGGTATACAACCTCCAAAAGTGTATTACCCTGTAGTTAATCAGAGTCACCCAATTAATAAGTATACCAAGTTTCTATTCATTATTCTGAAAATGTAAGAGGAAACTTGAAAAACTTGTGACACTCCAAGGTATTCGCAGAATTTTCATTAGGTTTCAAATGCCTACTGGGTGTTTCCGAAATTGGGGCAATCAATGGAATTTTTTTCGATAAACAAATATTTCTGGAAGATATCGAGCTTCAAAGTTTGCTCGAAACTTGTGTAAATCACTGATCAGAGGTTAATAGCACAACAAATGCATTTGCTTTCGGCGAGATCACAAGCACCGGAAGTATCAATGACTTTTGCAATGTTGCCGTGCGTTCAATAACAGTTGAAAGATGTAGTATGGTGGAAGCGAACAATTTGTGAAAAAATCTTGAAACAATTTTTCTATGATTTTTCGTTTAACTATATGTTTCATAGAACATTTTATTCATCGCCCCGATTTCGGAAACACCCTGTAGACTCACCTTACTACGATGCTATATACTACAATTATTTATAAAGTATTAGAAACCTGAATAAATTATTTTCATTTTCATTCGATACGAATATGATTTCCATAGCTGCTGATTTTGAATGAAAATTCATGTACTTTATCACTTCGTTTCGTTATTCATATACAGCTTTGAAAATTGTTGACTTTTATGCATAATTCCTTGTCACCCTCCAATAGGAATGATTCATGATATATAATATTCCACCCATGCCATGCACTGATGATAATTATTTGTGTTGACAATTGTTATATAAACCAGGGTGTTTCTGAAATGAGAGCGATAAATGGGGAGTGTAATAGCAGATGAAAAAAATGAAAGAACATTTATATTGGATTTTATTTCGGGCACACCATATTCTACACAGTGGCGTAACTCTCACTTCAATTATTTTTCTAATTTGAGTTGGTGTCAATATTATACTCCTATCTATCTAAAAGCGGTTTCCATTGTGGATGAACTGGTGGAGTATTTATGCATTCAGTGTATATCTATCCTTCTTTTTGACGTGTAGCAGAAAGAGAAATGTATACACTGAGTGTGCACTAGTTTTACCAATGGAATCCGCTACAAATATAATGAACTCTTTCTGAAGTATTGTACTTATACGTATACAGGGTGTCCTAGAATAACGTTTGTTTATACTCTGGGAGTTAATTCTTCAGATGGAAATGAGAAACGAAGTTTTTATCAACATGTGCCCAAAAATGCTTTCTATACGGACGATTAAGCTTTTTGTTTTGTTCCAAGATTCATCTCATAGCTTTTACCAGAAAAAAGATTCTTCGAAATGAAAATTAATTTATAAAAAGATGGTATTCCTGTTAGAATGCCGTAAAACGAACCGTTTTCGAGAAAAGTGTCATTTTTCATCTTCAATCAATCAATCAACAATCAATCGTTTATTGGTGTTATTATACAATAAATGTATGTCCGAAATAATTCAGAATGAGTTTGAGCGCATGAGCTCTCATATGATGAAAAAATTTGAACTTGATAATTGAAACTATAGACTATAGACTCAGTTTTGTTTCATTAGACTTCATCGTGATGTTGATTTGTTGAGGAAATATATCTCTATATAGCTCTAGGGCTCTATATAGCGCCCTTAGGAAGCATTCTCGGACACATGTTGATAGACACTTTTTTCTAATTCTCATCTGCAGACTCACCTCCTGAAGTAAACGAACGTTATTCTGGGTCACCCTGTATAAGCATAATACATGCACTTCCTTTTTTACGGATATACGGTGAATATAAATTCTTGTCAGACGTTGTGAAAATGTCTGCCCAATTTCAGAAAAGGAGAATGAATGGTGTAGTCGAAGAAGAAATATTATTGTACACTATATATTCGAGTAGTAACTCACTCGCCGCAAAAGCATTCAAATTGAAAATGAATTGAAAATATTTCAATAAGCATTTAGTTAGAGTTAATGTTCTATATTCTCCTATATTATATGATGAAATTTGAAAATGTTCGTTTGCTCGTTGTTTCATATGTAATGATGAACCCCAATATTACCTTTCACTCAACTTCTATAGATATCAGTTGAAAATTACTTCAAAAGTATCGGCTTACAGATACCCAGAATTCCATCGGACAAATGGTATTTTTATTGGGCGGTCTCAATATAGTACTCGGAGAACAATGAAATTTTCTAGAAGAAGGTCTCACAGCTGATGTTTATAGAAAATGTTCCTCCTCAATTCTTCTTTCCGATATTTTGCTACTGAAAAATGAAACATACTGTTCCCGAATGATTTCAATAAGAATCAAAACTCGAATAAGCATACCCTCTTGGCAATTTTCAATGTTGTCTCGTCACCTATTAATATCACCTATAGATAATTCCAAATAAGAATTCGAAACGGTGAAAATACAAATTTTCAAAAAAATCATATGAATCAACCCTTTTTTTATTCGCAGTTCATTATCTTCGCTGCTTTCATCGCTGTATCCAGGGCCGGCCTCATCGGAGCCCCCCTGGCCACCACTTACGCTGCCCAGCCCATTGCTGTAGCGAAAACAGTAGTTTCTGACGAATACGACCCTCATCCTCAGTACTCTTACGGGTACGACGTCCAAGACGCTTTGACAGGTGACAGCAAAAGCCAGGTCGAGAGCAGAGACGGAGATGTTGTTCACGGTAAGTCGAAATATCGATTGTGTGTGGTGTCAATGTCAATGTGCTATTTACCGCTGTTGATTTTCAATAACAAATGGAATTGTAATAAAAAGTTAAGCATCACTTTCATGGTATACCGGGTGTCCCAGATATTGTCATTCAGCCAATATCTCAGTTATGCTGCTTAAAAAAAAATCTGAAAATACTCTTTGGTTGTACCCAAATGACTTTGGAGCCATTGTGTCAAAGTCAACTATTGTCAAACTATACCTCTTAAGAAAGCACTCCCAACTTCATTTTTTCAAATGTACACCTTATAAATTTTGTTTATTTATTAGTGAAGTGCAATGAATTCTATCTTCAGTTTGCCAGGACTTTTCTTTGACACAATGGCTTCAAAGTCATTTGAGTTTCAAGAACTGCACACTTTTTCATCTATATCTATACTCTTATATACAGGGTGAATCAGATTTCTGTAGCAGGACTTCAACAGCTTCAAGAAGATACTATTTTGATGAAAATGTCAGATTTATGCGTAGAATCCTCTTTTCCAACATACATAGGTGGTGTGATATTTTTATATTTATTTTTGGGTTCTTCAAGTTTTGCCACTGAGTTTCATAAACGCATCTTATGAAAGCTTTCGATCATTGGGAATATGTCAAATAGAGTGTGTTTGAAAAATAAAGTTTTATCACAAATAAATCATTGGCATGTATCTCGAAATCCATACAGTTAAGGAAAAATATATAAAAGAAGGAAGGGGTTCCAAACAAAACCAAATCTGAATGAAAACAGGGAACATAGAGAAAATCTCAAACTTTGACTTCCTGTATATATATCGAAAACGAAGCTCCCACTCATATATGTTGACATGAAACTTTTCTGCTTGAATATATGTGTTCTTCAAGCTGACTCACCGTGTAGAAAGTATATTAATATACAAGTTGGAGAAAATTCGATGTCACAAATCATGAAAAAAGCTCTCCAAATGTTCTCGAAAATAATCACAACTTCTGCTACACTCACATCAACTCCTTTCAAGAGTAGGTTCAATGTGGCAACAAAGGGTATTTGAATTTCAAATCAAACATATATCATACAGTGCGCTGTCAAGTATGGTAACATGGAGATTTCTTTGTTGAAATAGATATATCATTGCTTCATTATCAACAGCACTTCAATTCAATTAACAAAGTCACAGCGTTGTGGTATGGAAATTACATGTTTGAATGTACTCGACTTATTTTGACAAAAGGCGAGTGGACTATTGATTTCTTAATAGTTCTCAATTTCATATTTTTTTAAATATTTTTGGTCGATTTTGGGGGCAGACCATAGCACAGTTGCCATATGTTGAAATACGATGAGGAACTTCAGAAATGTTAGGGATTCAATAATCCATAACATTTTAAATCATGTATTGGTTATATTCCTAATTAGCATTGAAGAATCAATTGTCTCAAGATGTTTCCTCATGTGTTGTGGCTTATTGTTGGTATGTTTCATTCAACGACAGGACTCTAGCATCTTCTTGATAACCTCATTATAATTGGTGACTCACCTTGCTTCATGAGTAGGAATGAAAGATCATCTTACCAACAACGAAACAGCATGAAAACTGACATGACCATCAATCCAACGTATCGCCAAATGGCGGTCATGACGATACGTTCGAAATGAGCTCTGAAATTCAACAATTTCGAACAAAGCATATGACACATCATTAACATTAAAAACGCGTGATGCGAACATTAATTTAGGTGTCTAACGACAGAGTGGAGTAACAGAATGCCGATGATTCATTATTCGTCCACTCGCTCATTCTTGACAAAACGAGAATATGGCCAGATAATATCCTTGTTATACTGTCGTAGTTCATGATGTCAATTTCGGAACTGACGTTCAATTTGGCGCTACTGTATCGACAGTTTAGTATCCTATACTCTGCATTGAAGTTCTGTATGACGAAAAATTCATATTATAATTTTTTTCTACAGGATCCTACTCTTTGACTGACGCCGATGGCCTCCGTCGTACCGTGGACTACACTGCTGACCCAATCAACGGTTTCAACGCCGTAGTACGCAGGGAACCGCTCGCAGCCAAGGCCGTAGTCGCCGCTCCCGTCGTAGCCAAAGTAGCCGCTCCACTCGCCTACGCCGCTCCAGTAGCGAGATACGCCGCTCCCGTATCCCACCTTGCCTACTCCGCCCCTGGTCACGTGGCCTACTCCGCACCTGGCCATTTGGCCTACTCTGCACCTGGCCATTTGGCTTACTCCGCACCTGGCCATTTGGCCTACTCCGCACCTGGACATTTGGCCTACTCTGCCCCTGGCCATCTTGCCTACTCTGCCGCCCCCGCTCATTTGTCGTACGCCGCCCCTTCTCTGAGGATTGGTTCGCCGTTGGCCTACTCCACCTCTGTGCTACACTGAATTAACTGCCTGCTTATGTAAATTGTATGTAAATATGTTGATTGCATATTAAATTAATGATATGGATTCATGCAGATTTTTAATTTACGATCCATCTTGATGCGCCGTTGACAACTAACTGAACGTTCTTCGTTTTGCGTTTCACTCATGATAGATAAGGAAACAATTTCCAGAAAATGATACTTCATCATTCGGAACATCACGATCGTGTATAGATTCAGTTATTTGGGCAATCCTTGAGATGAAATTGATTCTGATGATAAATCAGGTATTCATGAGATACATTGTAATGATAGTATCATGAAATATATTTGGCAAACAGGTGGAAGCATTGGCACAAGATTTAAGAAACAGATTGCCTCAAGAACATACTTCACCTTATCAATATACGAAAGATATTGACAGTGTTGTCAGAAGTGGCTCATATAGAGGTAGGTACCTATTATTGGATTCAATACTTGAGTTGAGTTGAAGTTTTCAGTTGGACTTTTGTTCAAATTCGAAATCTGGGCACTATATAACAGTCATGTGTGGGAACACATGAATTCTCCTGTCAGTGACAGTAACAAAAACGTCAATTTCAACGACCAATTCTGTTGGGCCATTAAATATGATCATTTTGAATACGGTTGCTATTGTGCCATTTCACAGTAAAAATTCAGTGATCTAGCTTCCATCATTTCGTGGCAGTATAGTTCTTGTTTTGAAGGAATTCGGTGAAGTTCATGAGGCGGTAGGAACCTATGCAAATCCGACCGATTCGATGTACAGTCAGATGCAAATAACATGTCGCATATAGGACGGCACTTTTACACCTTTTCCAGTTGTTTCATTGAAAAAATGGAATTTAATTATTTAGAAGTACCAACCCTAACTAGTCCACTGTGACCAACCGCTTTTCCTTCAGAACTCTGTAGATGTTTTGAATAATCATTGAAATTCACTATACATCATATCATGAAAAACGCGGGAATATGTGTGACGTAATCATCCGTGAACAATCCAATGCAATAATATAATATTCGACATACATATTGTGCAAGAATACTTCTGATTGTCATTTCAATCAAAATATGAAATGGATTTTCTGGACTGAATACTTACTGCAGGTAGCAGAGAACTCTACACACAACTGAAAATTTAGATAATATGAGGATCATCTTCAAATATTCGCATTATTTGTTAGATTTGACCATGGATTTGACTGGATGATAGGTTTTGAGGATGATGGGGACAAACGAGACTCACGTTAGGATGTTTTAGGTTGAAATTGAGTATTCTATTCCATTGATATTTTGGTATTTGTGAGAACTCTAGCATTAAGATTTTGCCAGTCACAAAAAAGTTGGGGTTCAGATAAAATCATAATTAGGAATATTTGGATATTATCACTGACACTAGTGACACTGATGCATGTTGCAAAGTATTTAGGTAGCCAATGAGTGATTATCAGGAACCAGGTGGCTAGATTTTCTTGTGCGAATGTGAATACTATCGTTATTAGTGATATTGAATCGCATATGGTAACTACAAGTTATACATTTGGCAAACGTCGAAATATCTGGTTATGCTCTGTGCCAGTATAGGCGGATGACATAATCGAAACCTGGGGAACTTCGAAGGTGGTAATTTTCAATAAAAAAAAAAGTATTTTCGATTATTTTAAATAACGAATGATACAATTAAGTACTTTTTCTACAGGGACTGATCAATATGAAATAGGTATGGTGGTATAAGAGTTACAACCCCATTGCATATCAGAATAGTCACTTGTGATTCAGAAAGTCAATACAATTCCAGAAAGCGTCGAGTGTACCCAGGTACGAGAATTCTAAATTATGAGACTATGAGTACTGGAAGTTGTTCCATGAACAGATGAACCTTTCACTTGCCACAATGAAAATTCAATCAACCATGAGTAAGCTTTATTCTCGTTGTATTCGTATATCCTATCAATTAGTGTTGAAATTATAACTCTCCTTTTTTTTAAATATCCAGAATATAAGGATTAGGGGGGAAAGAAGCCCAAAACCGAAGGCCCAAAATGTGTTTGGCAGCTGATTACTGGACCACCTATAAATAATCCTACATGTCCAGCTTTTGTGCCACCACCGATAATTTCATCGGAATGTCATCACATTTGAAATCATAATCTATTTATTTCCGTTTGCTGGGCATTATTGATGGCCTATAGGGGCCGTTTCTATGAAAGAAAATAACTCCCCTCAATCAGGCTCCAATATCGATATCCGTTGAACAGCAGCGTTTCCCCAATCAACGGTGTTTTCAAAATACGACCGATGCGAGTAATATGACATTGCTGTCGATGAGAGTGCTAATTGTTATCTGCTGGTCGTTAATTACTGTGCGATTCGTCGTGCAAAGGATATGCTGTAATTGTTTGTACGAGGTGGCACACTTTCAAGCTGGGAAATATTCCATGAAACTGGTCACATCTAGAAATGAAAGTGGACTTTTGACAGAAAAAAATATTTTGGAAGGATCTGGGTTCCTAAATATGTGCATCCTCTTATTTTAATCAATAAACATTGACTCATCTGATGGTTACAGGTGTATACTGTCGAATTATCGAACAAGTGATGAGATTTCTAGAACAAGAAAATTTCATTTGACATTTCTTAATCGTCACTCACTTTAAGAAATTACACCTAAGGATGACTTTTTGCACAAAGAGTTTGAGGATTGCTCGTAGGATTGAGTTGATGTTCTATATTGATAGGTGATTCAATTTATACCTCTCCAAAAGATACAGAAAAGTAAGTTGACAGCGTCCATATGTCTACTTTAACAGGAATTCAAGAACAATTCTTCTTACAGCATGCATAATTATTATTGAAGTATATCACTTAGTACTTTCAAGCGTAAAGTGAAAATTGACATGTTTTGTTAATATTCTAAATTAAGAAGTGATAGAATTTCTACCTCTCCAAAAGATACAGAAAAATGAGTTGACAGCGTCGATATGTCTACTTTAACAGGAATTCAAGAATAAATTTTCCTTACAGCATGCATAATCATTATTATAGTATATCACTTAGTACTTTTAAGTGTAAATTGAAAGCTGACATGTTAAATGGACTTATTGTCCTTACATGAAAATACATGTGTTCTTATAAATTACTGATTGTAGTGTACATAGTTGAGCACATAGGTATAACATACATATTATATGTATATATACATATATGTTTAGAGGGTGTTTCTTGACCTGTAGGCAATGGCTCAGGGAGTTGTGGCTCATAATATATAGGGCTGACTAATGATGCGCATATGTAAAGTTTGGTGAAAGACTTTAAGTTTTCATTATACTTATATTTCAATGAATGTAATGTATATAGATGCGTTTCAACTTTCCATTTATCTGGATTATCTTCTTAATATGATTAGTTCGTCCTTTTTTTTCTTTTTCTTTTTTCTCAAACTGGTCATGGCCATGCCATATGAGCTGTCGATTTCCGGGTTTGTGTGTGTAGGTTGGGAATCGCCCTGTATCATGGGAGAGTGGAAGAGCTACTGTCGAATTATCGGCGAGTTGAACTCACCCTTTTGTTCCTTTGGGACAATAAAAGCATCAGCGTAATTATTGATATCAAATATTTTTTCTAGAAATTCGCGGTTTACAACTATTTGAGGGTGTGCTGAATTCAATGGTGATTTCAATTTTTTCGTAAACAGACCGCTTATATAATTTCTTGAATCTCAACCTCTGAACATATACCCAGCAGCCCTAGAGTTTGTGTAGGAAATAAAATCTTTTGTCCACAAGTACAGTTCTTCAAATTCTACAATTCAAAGAATAATTCGTCAATACAAATTTAATTGAGGTGTCCCGCTTTCAAGTGAGTCACACTGTATTTAAAACAACATATTTGGTCGGAGTCTTATATTTATCCTTTTATTGTAATTTCACATAGGTATAAGACCATATCAAAAAATCATTATCAATTACGTATAAAAGGAGTGTGCACAAAAAACAGCTTAGAGCTGTATTTTCAGAATCATTCGAGATCGGATAACGAAAATTGGTGGGTAGCAAGTATAACGACTTGCTCATTTATTGAAAGAACAAGTTTCACCGGAAACAACCCCAACGTTTGATTTTTGAGTGGGGCTCTATATTTCATTCCAATAATCGGTTAGGGATTATTATGATGAATTCAACCAACGATACCGGGTTCGATAAGGTTATTCCAAATGATCACGAAGCTATATTCGCGTTCGAAATTTCCATATGCTCAATAGGTGTGACTTCGCAATATCGAAACTTCTTTCTTGGTCGAACTCATTGAGCATGGGAAACCCATTTAAAAATCAGAAGTTGGAGTCGTTGCCAGTAAAACCGTGAGTGAATGAAGAAAACATGTTCCATTTTGTTTATTTCTTCTGACATGATAAGGCAAACTCAACACGCAAGCAAAGCTGCCCAAAAAAAGAGTTGCACAAAATAACAAAAAAAAACAGATTTTCTAAAATTTGTACTGTGCGACATTTGACATTATCCTAGTTATAATTGATAATCTAAACTCATCCATACTCAATATCAATATATGAACATTTTTGTCTTCTGCCTACCCAGAATACAGTTCGTTCTTTGAATGTCTTTTGAAGTAGGTATATAACAATACGTGGGTCATTTCACATAATGACGTATCTCATAAAAATGGGAATGGGGAAAATGGGAGATACTTTGTCAGATGACTTATATTCTTATATCTCTATGATCTCACAAAGTGGCGACGCTCAATGTTGATTGTTTTCGTGTAAGTAATTAAATATCGAATACTCAGCCTATCTCAAATTATTGGACTACCAAATCTCACGAAGTGACCTTACTATGGGAGTTACGTCCATACGTGAGATATATTTTTATTATTTGTTGAAATTTCAACTGTGACGTATCTCATATAATCCGGTTTGCCGCGGAAATTAGAATATCTCGGGTGACGTCTGAAGATAATTTCTGTGTTTTTTCTCAATAA